TAATTGTATTTGTGTAAGCAGTAACACCATATACATGAGTGACTTTAAATTTTCCAATGCGACACGCATTTGACAAATTCATTTGGCAGACTTATTCATTATATAACACCTGCAAAGTCTGACTGAGGTTGATGGCGACAGTTGAACCTGTTGGCATAAATTTTGCATCAAAAGAAGTCGAGGAATTAAGATATATCATAAAAACAGAACATTAAAATCAAGTTTACGAGTAATCTATAATTGACTGAGTGAAATCGCGCAGAAGGCCCTTGAGTGGAACACAAAAAGTTGTGAGTCTGCCCAAGGGCAACATGGAGGAGATCGTGTGATGAGGAAATGAGAGATGAAATTGTCTACAAAGAACAGAGTGAAATGAAGGTTTTCTGTTGATCCCCTTTGTCCCACTTCGAACTGAAGAGAATAATAATAATTATTATAATAATGGAGTTGAATTATGATTTCTTTTTGAAAATCAAAGCCTTCACAGTAATCATTTAGATTTGCTTGCCACTATGATTTTTATCTCAAAGAAAGTTAATCAGTTCTAAAGCAATTAAACAAAGCACATTAGTCGTGCTGAGACAATCTGATCATAGAACCTGTTGTTTTAGCCGTTGACAGTCTCTTGGTCATTATTGGTGTACTCAAACAAATTGAGCTCGGACAAGTGGATCACCCACACATTAATCCAAGTTAAATATTACTTACACAGTTTACACCGTTATACTGTATAATTTTAATGTAAACAGAAGTATGGATACATATTTGAAGGGAACTGCATCAGTGTGATAGCGAAAGATTCAACGACACATAGTTGAGACAATTGTATGTGGGGAATAATTTGAGGTAAGGTTATAATGTAACGGTGGCAGTCAAAATTCTTTCTCCTCTTATTTAATTTCTCTACGTCTTTCATTGTAAATCAAGAAAAGATTTAGTTGTTTTAGAATGTCAAAGATGAAAATTCACTTTAGAAGTGTGTGCGTTTTTTTACGCAGTTCGTTCATACTTCTAATCGATACTTCTTGTCTCAGACGAGAACTCAATTTCGTGAACTTCAATAAGGAGAAAATAAGAATAAAACAAGTTTCTGAGATGAGTTCAGCAGTAGACTAGTGATTTTCAGCAGCCGTAAATGAAATCTTTTAGAGTATTCCGAGGTACTGTTATCAAATAGACATCCGTTTTGTAAACAAGAGACCAACAGTTCAACGTAAATCTGCATGCATCACTCTTAAAGGAGTAGTAAGGAAATTCAAATCCGCTGAAGAGTAAAATATTTCCAGTGGATAAGAAACGCTGATTAGTTGCGTTATTTATGAAAGTCTAATTCTCCACTACCGCGGATTAACATAAGTTGACATTCATAAATATACAGAATTGTTGATAAAACAAACAAAGTTAAGTTTACACCTTTAGTGAATATTACAAAAATGACTCCAGTTTCATGTTCACATGTACTAACTGTTACTTTGGCTAATCTCACTTTCTGTGTCTCATATATATATATATATATATATATATATATATATATATACATGCATACAATCTCTCCACTAAAACTTTTTAGAGGTCAGAAACTGTTTTCAACACATTCACCATAAATTAAAGTTAATGAAGTAGTTTCAAACATACACTAAACAGTACTGATCATATTATAGTTACACACAGTTGAATGACTATACTCCGAAAACGCATAATACATCGGAGTATGCATTGATTGATATATTGATTTTAGTATAGATTGCATGACTGACCTAAATGCTAGATAGAATATATGCAAATAACTGTATAAGCATATTACCTATAATATATATATACATATATATGCATATATATTCTCTAATGTAAATTAAATATAACCACAGGAAGACAAATAACAACACAAAGACAAGGAGAGAAGAAGTAGGAAGATAGAAACCTCGCACGATAGCAAAAAAAGAAGAAGCAGAAATCATTGCAGGGATGAAGAAGAAGAATAGATAACAGTCAATGAAGAAAAGAAATTAATAATAAACGCTGTGAAGAAAATTAATTACATTCAAAGTTTTAATATTATATTAGATTCTGGTAATGGACTGGAAAAGGCATTTACAATAAAGGTAACCAGTACAAACAACATACATACACATAGCCTACAGATGGTTATACCACAGAACACATATATATATAATGGTTATTGACATGTTGGATAATTTCTCTCTCTATCTTGAGATTATTGACATTTCTGATGAGAAAAAGAGAGATGGCGTTTTAGTCCTTTATTAGAGTTAGACGGAAAAGGAAGAAGGCGAAATATACGGAAATTAAGTAATATTCGACAATTGTCCACAATTTTCTTTTAATAACAGCCTATACGTTTATAGCTTGTAGAATAAAATATCAGATGCAGAAGCAGCTCCAGTTCTGTTTCGTCTGTCGCAGATTCACACTGCTGAAGAGTTGCAGAGTAGAGTTCAGCAACTTACCCAGTACTCTCTTGAGCTTATCGGTTTGTAGGAAAAATTCCTTTTATTACGATCTGACAACACTTTTAATAGGCTGTCAAGGAAGTATGACTACACTGCATCACTGTGTGATATTTAAAATAAACTTACCTAAAATAAGGAACTACATCCTACCACAGTGCCCACATTCTACACTTACATAAAGTAAGACTACATTCAATTGGCCAGTTTTGCTGACACCACCAGACACTGAATGTCAAAATTTATTGATAGATGATAGATGTTTTCAAGCCTTTTATAACTTTTAAATAATTTAAAATACATCTCATGAAGGAGAGACAGATTTTTAGCAGCAGCTGCTCAGCTGATATGACAGCCACGTCAGACTGAAAGAAACCTCAAGTTTATTGTTTTTGTTAAACGTGAACAGGAATTCCTACTTATGAAAAAATGAGCAGTTTATTATGTATACTAGGGAGAAATAGACAATTAAAAACTTTCCACATTTTATTAATTATTCACTGGATATTCACATAAAAAAGTGGAGTATCAGCCACCTTTCTTTGTGTATATAAACAAAATTTCACAATTCATGATTATAAACAGAAAAAATTATGCTTGTATAATGAGCGGATAATAATATTACTTTTTTTTCATTAAAGTATCCAATAAAGGTTTATACTACGGGCAAGAAGAAAGTCAATTTTTTTGTCCAGTCAATTTCATTTCAACCCAAATTATACACACTGAACGATCAGTCAGCTTTTGTAAAGACTGAAACGACTTAAAACACCCAGAGAATAATGATAATAATAATAAATGCGAATAGTTGAGACGATGAAATATTGATACCATTTGATACAACTTGATACTAAAACATAGATATGGAAAAATCAATCAGAATAACTATTATAAATATGTCTGCCAGTAGACACTAGTTTGGATTTCTCACTTACTATTCAAAGCTGAAAATAACCCAGCTCCATAAAAAAAGAGGTCTGTCAGGGAAACCTGAGTAATCCGCCTCTTTTTCGAATCTGCCAATAGGAAGTTTCACTCCATCCATATCCAGTAGTATTCTGTGTGTTGTTGCAAATTTAGTTATACAAAAATTATATTGAAGAATTTTTATTCTTATCAATGTTCATCAATACATATTTGATCAAAGTCTCATACTTTGATGTGAATGGAACAAGTTCACCTGTTCCTTTTCACAAACTAAACTGTCATTGTTAAATTGTCACAGGCTCTATAAAATCTTTCAGCTGGTGAATTCCGAGAGTTAAAATGACCCACTGATAGAAATAGGAAATGATATTGTTTCACAGGTATACTACATTGAACTACAATTGAACTTATATGAAATTAGTCAAACCTTTTGGATAGCAGAAACCGAATAATAATAATTTTTTTGGAATAAAGAAAGGACGAACATATTTGCAGGATGGATAATACGGGCTCATTTTATTCCGTGGATTCTCTTCAACTGAGAACATCTTAAACTAAATCAATTTAAAGTTACAAAATTTTTGAGCATACTTATCACAATGATTTCAAGTTATAGATAGAAAGTATTAGCAACAGAATTTCAAAGATGATGTAATCATTCAGTGTTAAAACAGCAACCATTTATATAGTAATCAGACAATGAGGTGGAGTTCAGATTTATCTTGGAAACAAGGATGGACTAGAGACAGAACACAAGATAAAACAACAGAGTTAATTTATACATATTATGGTGGAGAGTTCAGCAGGGTGGGAGTGAATCGTGAAGGAAAATTATTTACTAATCCCTTACGTTCCCATTGGAACATACGGCTTCAAGCTAGAGGCTTGAAGTTTCTGTAGCAGTGGTGTTTATTTTTACGCGATGGGGTTGCAAGCCTTATTACTGGCTTAGCGAGGTAAAGGAGTGCGCCGGTGGCCGGGGATCGAACCCCGGACCACATGCGTGGTTAGCGAGCATTCTACCAATGTGCCACCGACGGACGAAGTAAGATTATAGAATAGATAAAATAATTTAAGTTAGTAGATTTGCAACCTTAATAGTGAGTTCAACTCAGAGAGTGGAATTCAAAATTAAGATTGAGTGGAATGTTATAATTTTTATTTACTTCACTACTCACCCAACCAACACTCCTGAACTCTCCATCATAATATGTATGAATTCACTGAGTTGCTCTATCTTGTGTTTTGTCTCTAGTCCATCCTTGTTTCCAAGCGAAATCTGAACTCGACCCCTCTTGCCTAATTATTGTATAAATAGTTACTCTTTTAACACTGACTAATTCATCTACTTACATTATCTTTGGAAGTTTGTTGCCTACACTTTCTACCTATGACTCGAGTTCATTGTGAAAAGTAAGTCCAGAAATTTTGAAACTTATAAGTGATTTTGTTTAGGATGTGCTCAGTTGAAGAGAATCCACAAGATAAAACGATCTCGTAATATCCTGAAAATATGTGCACTTTTTTTCTTTATTCAAACTAATAAAGGGAATCGGCTGTATAAAAAATCAAATAAAAACCTTATCCGATTATTTTTCAACTTACTGTGTTCCCTCTGGTACTGAATTCACATTATCAGGATTAACCATAGACAAACGGTTACTATCGTTAGGTGGTTTTGAGTCATTCACAGATGATAGGTGATTAACTGTAGTTTGAATGTTCGATGGCAGTGTGCTGCAAACATCTGACCTTGAAGTAGTATTCTTCAGAGTACTGAAAGCTGAATTGTTGACATCATCTGAAAAATAATTGAAACAAAAAAAAAGATACAAAATGTGAATAGAACACTTTGTTTTTTTTTTGTTGTATTTTTTTGCATTTCTTAATTTCATTTATATTCATTTTCAATAAGATGAATTACAAAATGAATTTAAAATGCTAAAAGTCAGACAAAGAAAACAACACACACATTAAGTTTAAGTAGTCAACAAAACAATTTTGCTGTTTCTAATAGACACTGTAAAATTCACTGTAAAATTCCTCCCGGAACTGTATTGTGCACAAATCAGTAATGTCTTGTCTGAAAGCATCTGATGGAAACAAGTAAGTCATAAATAGGACGACATCAATAACTAGTTTTTATTTTAGAAAATATCACAAAAAAATGCTTACAGCGCGTGTCGTTTGTTCATGAGTAAGGCGAGATGAATTAATTACCCACTGGTTGGGCGAAATAATAATAATATGGTCAAAACAAAGTCATTTGCTAGTCGAGCGGATCAATACAACAATCCGACTCTAGATGATATATGCCTTGTTTACACATAAAATTTCAAAATCAAATCAACACAGTTTATTTTTAGGCACAGAAGGTAAGTAAGGTGAGTAAGAAGGTAAATAAGGTTGAGAAGAGCAAAGCTAAGTGAGTGATTATTCAAACAAAGTGGGTATTTTACCCAGCAGAGTTCCATGGTTAACTGAATATGCAGTCAGAGTTTTAAATGACTGAAGGATCTCACAGTCATTACAGACCGTGATGAAAGAATGGCTTTGCTAAATACAGGAGTAAATAATATACACAAAATAACGATATTTTATTTCTGAAAGGAGTTTTCAAACATGATATTATGTACAATACAATATTTCATATAATCCTACAGTTTTCAGATCTTTATTTTTTTTCAAGAGTTGATTTCTAAGGATTAGATTTATTTTTAGAATTTGACCACGGATGGATATTAGTTAGATAACCATTGAAAACCAGGGAGTACTGGACAGCTGTTTTATCCTAGTGGGAGAATCATGGTATACGAGCTCGCCTTGTAGTCGGAAGGTTGTGAGTTCGAGCCCCAGTTGATGTGTACTGCCAATGATTCCCAAACTAGGATGAAACAACTGTCCAGTAGTCCCTGGTTTTCAGTGGTTATCTAACTGATATCAATCCGTGGTTAGACTAGAAATATATATATGTATGTACAACTCTGACTATTACTATTGCAGAAGCTATGATTTGGACAAATAAAACTTTTGGGGAAATTTTACTTTGAGTTTCTAAACACTCTGAGGTTCGGTGTGACGACAAATACTCGCCGATGACATTGGCTAGTGGTTGCACTATGTTGTGAATATGCAGAAGTTGGAATTCATGTGCTGGCCATTGGATCGGTTCTCAGTGGCTTAAAGGTCAACGAACTCGTCGGCTCTTAACCGGAAGGTCCTGGGTTCGAAACCTGGGGGTGGGTGTGTACTGATGAAGAATCCCAAACCAGAACGAAATAGCTGTCCAGTACTTCTAGGTTTTCTAGTGGTTCTCGAACCGATGTCAACTTATGATAGAATCCTGAAATCCAGTCGAATCCCCGCAAACCAACAGTTGAACTTCTTAAAATAGTTAGTGAGAGCGCACGTATCAAGTTGTTCCAAGACATTCTTAACGCTAGTGCTCAGAATACTCATAGATTTTGCATGAAATTGTTGAATACAATGTTATTCAAACAATTTTTTCTGTGAATGAAATCTGGACGAACACTTCAGTGGGAAATATTCTGCTATGCATAAAGGTAGTATTTATTCGAATCACTTAGAATAAACATGTCCACTGCTATCAAACTTCAACAATGCACTTAATAGTAGAACTGAATGTATAAAATAGATTGCAGTGTGGGCTGAATATGAATAAATGTGGTCAAGATAACTGTGAAATGTTTTTTTTTGTGTAAGTAGACTTATAAGTACATTTAGAAAGAAACCTGACTTTAATCGTCAGGCATATGCGTAAAAGTGTACAGGATTGTGAGAATAAACTACCAACATCTGATGACCTTAACGCTATCTGTAAAACCTCCATCACACTGTCTTTCGAAATGTTTCTGTTCTCTACAGTCTAATTAACTAGACTAAAGTACCTTTTCATCATTTGGAAGTATTGTATTAATGGCAGTATGAAGCTGATTAACTCCCAAAATATCTTCCCTGAAAAATCAGTTTTATGCATAACAACTTGATCACCTGGACCAGGAAGGTCACTCTTGTGCATCTTGAATTCCACTGCTAGTCATCCACCACCATCAGACATCTTCGAAGCATCCGTATTAGGAGTCCACATGTCAACAGAAGCCGAAAGTTTCGGTTCAATCAATCAAGGGAGAAAAGAATAAAATTCACTTAAACAAAATGCAAAGATGACTGACTATTTGCACAAAATTTTGGTATCGATGTTTATATCGAAATAGATGGAATTAAAAAGGTGGTTGCAGCGACGAAAATTCTCTTTTCGACGATATCACCAAGTAGGCTGTACATTCACGCAAATTCACTGCAACCGTATTTATAATTCTTCCTATGATCTAGTGTATGCATATTGAAATAGTTCAGGCGGAACTTTATACAAAGTGAGATGTATTCACAGAATCGACAAAGCCCTTTTTGAATATGCTGACTCATTGTAGTGTCGGTTTTCTTTTGCAACAGATTCCACGCTGTTTCTGCTACACACACACACACACAGGCAAACAAACATACAAATGCATTAGGTAAAAATTCCATCCCATTAATTTAATATACGCAGACTAGACGAAATTGATCAGAACGAAACAGATGAAAAGATAACGAAAAAAAAGAAAGAAGAGGGAGGCAGATAATGGAAAGAGTTAATAATGACGAAAAACGATTGAAACAAATGCCAAATATCTGAAGGTCAAGAAAACAAGTCTCGAAATCAATTAAATACAAAAAGAATCAAAAATGGAGACTCTTTCTTGCCCAACAAACAGAGCAGCGATGAACTGAATAGATGGTGAATGTTCTTTTTTCTTTCTTTTTGTAACTGTTGATGCTTTATGTATTCAGTAACACAAAAAAGTATAATATATATAGCGAAAACGTATGATCCGTTTTATTTTATTTTATTTAGTGCACAAAAGCTCTTCCTATTCACGCTTTACAAAAATAAAAAAGCAGCCTCTCAGGGGTGGGGTCTAAGGAAGAAATGACAACATAAGAAATCAATACTGCATTATTATTATTATTTATTTGTCATTTTCAATGTAATTGGGATAGACAGTTCAAATAATGAACAAGAAGAAAAAAAGAAAATCAGAATACGTGATAGCCAGACAGAAAAAAGATAGGAAAGTAACGTTTATTTCTTTGACAAAAAAAAAATAAACTGGTAACGAGATCCAGGGTAGAGGATTGGTTCGATAATACACCTGTCATATATTGTGAACTGTCATTTGTATGAAGGTATCAATTTAAACGTCAAATTTTTGTTTTTTTTCCTTTCTACTAATCGATTTACTATCGCTTGAATATTAGTGATAAATATCGTTGAGGCATTAAATGTATTCATCATTACAGGGACTTAGACTGTTGAATGAACTGGTCACACACACACAAAGACACAGACATCATGACGATGTGATGTGTGCTTCATTTAAATTTCAGAAAAAGAAGCAACCTGTAACACCATGTGTGATTGTCTCTTGATTATATTTTAAAACAGTTTTTGGTTGAAACAAAAATGATGAACAAATTTGTCATGATGTTCGAAACATATCAAGGATAATTGAGTGTCTGGTCTATTATCTAGTGGCTTTGGTAATTTGTCTGGTGAAGAGATAATTTTCTTATTTTTTTTGATGGAAGAAATAAGACAGTGAAATTTTGTTTGCAAATAAATAGAAACTGTCTAGCAGATGGAAGATCAACACAGAGGTTTCTCAAGAATTGGTTTTTTCAACCCAGGACCTTCCGGTTACAAGGAAACCTGGCTCGTATACTATTGAGCCACTGGGACCCGATTCTATGGCCAGCCCATGAATTTTAACTTCTACCAATTCATGATTTTAGCACAACCACCAACCAATGTCATCGGCGGGAACTCCATCCGCACTCCCGACTGGATGAACCACACTGGTCACGACTTCTAAATAGAACTTCAGGCAACTTTTTCCTGTAGCAAGTCACTAATGAGCATCAGATTAATTTTCAAGAATTGGTTTGTAGAGATTCTATTTGTTTCAGGGAAGAGGACAGCCACTCGCCCATGACATTGGCTGGCGGTTACGCTAAACATACATCACAAATTGGTAGAAGTTAGAATTCATGGACTGGCAGTTGAATCGGGTCCCAGTGGCTGAATGATCTACGAGCTTGACCTTTAACTACAAGGTCCTTGGGCGAAAATCCAGCGGGTGTGCACTGATAATGAGTCCCACACTAGGGTGAAACAGTTGTCCAGTGCCCCCTGGTTTCCAGTGGTTCGCTAACTGATATCAATTCATGGTCCAACATTAAACAGAGGTTTCTATTTTATCTTAATTTTAATAATAATATCACCAAAAGATTCTATAAGATTCCATTCCAGAAGTCATGCCTATTACATGATATGATTATGAGCAATGAACGTCATCCAGTCACTGATACTGTGTTAAAGTGAACTACATCAAATAAAGTTCTCTAATATTCATTCCAATGACGCATAGTTTCTAGCATCTGTCAGTCTTCAGTATAACCCCACGGTCAACCACTGTCACTGTTAATTACCCTTCCTCATACGCTACTTAGCCGATTGACTTGACAGTTCAAGATTTTTCACCGAAACCCAAGGAAGACCATTCTGCAGTAAGCCAATTGTTGAATGCCTAGAGATATTCTCAGTTTCAAGGTGCATTTCATTTTTACCTAGAAAATATATTTACCTTCTGTTATGGAAGGTGAGGTAGCTTTATGGCTTGACGTTACTTAGGATACAGATGCTTCAGATAAGCAGCACGCTGGTTCTCAAATAAATACACT